TGTCTTACTTTTAGTCAAAAAGAAATTTTATGCATGATTTTCTTACTGTGCTGAGTGATCATCTGCAGATCAACAAACTGTCCTTTTGTCCTTTTCATTTTGTGCTAATGGAGCCTTTGCAGGTTAGATTTCATCCGAAGGATCATGAAATACTTGCAAGTGGAAGCTTAGATCATGAAGTGCATGTATGGAATGCAAACACATCAGAATGCATAGGATATCGTGATTTCTGTAATTCTTCCATCTGATCCCAACCTTGTCCTCATGAAATAGGAAAAACAAGAATACCTAACAACTGCTTGAATTGTTGTTGTATCTATTTCCTACATGTAGACTCAGAAATCTCTCTTAAAACTTTCTTTTTCCCTCATTGCGGTTTTTACCCTTTTCCAGACCGTCCTATTGCTTCTCTTGCTTTCCATGCTGAAGGGGAACTCCTTGCTGTGGCATCAGGTCACAAGGTGTTGATTGACACTTTGTAGTTTATTTGCCCTCATAAATTTTATGTATCTCGTGGTTTTTAGTCGTTTTTTAGTTGACATTCAATCTTTAAATCAGCTGTATCTATGGAACTACAATGGAAGTGGAGAGAACTCATCACCAACAATTTTATTGAAGACAAGACGGTCACTTCGTGCTGTGCATTTTCATCCTCATGCTGCCCCATTGCTTTTGACCGCTGAGGTTTGATGCTTGATTGAGTTTATTGGGTTGTGTACCTCTTCTGTCTTGTCAATTGCTCTGTTGGACGAATACGCAGGTCAATGATCTAGATTCTTCAAATTCCTCAATGTCGAGGGCAACGTCTCTGAGCTGTTTGCAGTACCCTCCCCCTTCTCTACATATGGCAAACATCAATTCACGGAATCTTCTTAATGTGGCTGCTGAACTGTCTCTTGTACCTTCTTTTAACCCATATCCATCTTCATCTGCAATTGATGATGTAAGGACATGTTTTCATTCCTATAATGGCTCAAGTTCTTTAAATCACAATCAAGCTGATCATCTGCTTTAATGCAGATTCAGATAAATGCAAGATTAGTGGAGCAAAATGATCAGAGAGCTTTCCCAGTGGATATGTATGCAACCACTTCCACCACACATACTGGATTGCAAGATAGATTGATTAGTTCTTTTGCTTACAGGGAGCAAAATTCTATCTCTGGGACTGCTGTAGATGCTATGGACACATCTGAAATGCAGCATATAGAGGGGTACCACCCCAGGGGCCCATCTGACCAGGAGACACCTGGTCCTGGAGTTAGGCCCTTGCCATCAATTTCTCATACTCTTGAGCTTCCCATTCCAATACCTAGACAGGTGGAGTCATCGAGATTTGGTCAAAATGGTTCTTTACCTTCAAGACAATCATCACCTTGGGATTTACCTTTTCTTCAAGGATGGTTGATAGGTCAAAGTCAAGCTGGGATACATCCTAGACTTCCTGTGAGCAGTCATATGCATCCAGTGGGCTATCCTGGAATACATGATGTCTCATTGACGTCCAACTCTTTTACGTGTAACAGAGTTTTGCCATCTATTATGAGCAGATCTGTGGAAGCAGAAAGTTCTGGTTTACAGCAACAGCCACAGCTTACTGAGAATAGGATTCTGAATTCGCTTCAGAGAGTTGATTCCATTCCTATTTTGGGTGTAATACCGTCTGAACTTTCTGCCTCATTGTCCACCACAGTTGGTGCTGAGTTGCCATGTACAGTTAAGCTGAGATTATGGTTGCATGATATAAAAAACCCATGTGCCCCTCTAGATACTGACAAGTGCCGCTTAACCATACCGCATGCAGTTCTTTGCAGGTGCATGAACTTGCCAAACTTGGACCGTCTTTGCTCTCTTATTTTACTCACTGTGACTCGCTGACTTGTTCATTTATCATATTTGGGTGACCATAATTCTATTCAACACAATTTCTTTTGGGGTGGGGTTGGCAGGATTTAACATTGCTTCACCATATGATCCATTTCTTGTGTGCATCTGTAATTTTAAGGGAAAGTTAGCAGTTATGAGATCATTTATTTGGAAGAAGACCAAAATGAAAACTTAAGAGGGTCAGTAAAAGGGTGCCTTTTTTCTTTTGATGTCTTGATTAGTTTTTTTTCCCTCCATTTTGTGTCATTGATCACATGGTTCATAGAGTTACAAATTGTGATTTCAGTGAGATGGGAGCCCATTTTTCACCTTGTGGGAGGTATCTTGCTGCATGTGTTGCATGTGTACTTCCTAAGGTAGACGCTGAACCTAGTTCTGTATCACAACTTAACCAAGACATTGGAGCGGATGGATTATCTCCAACTAGACACTCATCCTTAGCACACCAAGTTTTGTATGAGCTTCGTATTTACTCCCTCAAGGAGTCAACGTAAAGCTTCTACCCTTTAGTTTCTTTAACTTCTTGACGTGTATCAATTTTTGTTCACTTATTGTATTTGTTACTTTTACATGCTGTAGTTTTGGTTCAGTGCTAGTATCTAGGGTGGTTAGGGCTGCTCATTGTTTGACTTCCATCCAGGTAAGTTTTTTACAGTTGAATTAAAGAAGCAAATTGATCTTCTTTTATCATTCAGGTGTACTTAATAGCGTGTATTTCATGTTAAAACACATCAAGTATTTGTACTCCTGATTCACTTCATCATTTTAATTGCAGGCTTTTAAAATTGTATCGTTATCATAAGATTCCTAATGTTTAGCATACTATACTTTGATTCCAGTAAAGGGTGGGGTTGGCAGTGGCAAAATATACTTGTAAATTGAGCCTTCTTATTGTTTACTTTGCAGTTCTCACCCACGTCGGAACACATATTGCTCGCGTATGGTCGCCGTCATAGTTCTCTTCTGAAAAGCATTGTGATGAATGGAGAAGTCTCACTGCCAGTTTATACAGTTTTAGAGGTACAGTTGATTATTGTTTGGCCTTAAAAAGTCATTTCTTGGTTGTATAGCTGAGAAACATGTTACATGTATCAGTACAGCGCTATTGATTTCTCTGACTCTTTTGTGAATTGAAGTTGGTTATTTACAGGTGGTTTTTCTTAAAAGTTTATCTTTGGCACTTTGGGATCAGGTCTACAGGGTCTCAGATCTGGAACTTGTTAGCGTGCTTCCTAGTGCTCAAGATGAGGTCAATGTAGCTTGTTTTCATCCTTCTGTGGGAGGAGGTCTTGTTTATGGAACCAAGGTGTGTCATTTGGAACACCGAGAATTTCCTTTCTTTGGGTGGTTTGGTTTTGACTTACAAGGTTTAACTGCCTTGTGAACTCAGGAAGGAAAACTGAGGATCCTGCAGTATGATGGAGCTTACAGATTGAATAGTAGCACATCAAACATCTTTCCAACAGCACAACATACCTGAGGTAGAATAGTGTTCCAGATTGTGGAGGACTTGTATATTTTTAGTTTTTTATGAAGGTGTGACCAGTACTACCATTGATTCATCTACTTCTTGTGTATGTGAATGTACGTTCATAACTAGCAAGTAATAAAATCCTTCTTCGTACTGACTAGAGATGGTAATCCCCAATCCCCAACCTCCTGACCTCAATGTGTTTCTCTTCTTCACTCAATTCTTATCCCTTCCCCTCTACTTCTGCTGCCCCAGGTTCTATGTATAAATGTCTTGAACATAATCTGATATTTATTTTTGTGTATGAAACGTTAAATTTATCAAAATTTTACCATCTTATTACTTAAATAAGTATGAATCTACATCTATTATGATATACATCTTATTACTTAAGGCTATTTTTACAACCTTAACCATAACGAAAGCCCTCTGGGCAGTCGAAAGCCCAACAACTACTCACATTAGCGTTTCAAGTTAGACGCGTGATCGAGAATTCTTCTCTGACAAATCCAGTAAATTGCAGCAGATACTCCTCCGTGTCCATGTTCCGGATTAAATACTCTCCTAGTATTATATTTATTAAATGCGTGCTCTATTCAATCCTGAGGGGTCGGTCAAAATGTTGTGCACCAGGAAACCAATACGGAGTAAATTCTTGAATTATGATGAAAAAAAAAGAGTTTCTACAAGTAAGGCTATTGGTGGAGGCGTTTCTAAAATGAGGTTGTTCGCATTTGTTGAATGCGAACTTACTTAGCTCGCATTGCCAAATGCGAGCTAGGATACATTTTTTTTAAAAAAAAAAGTACCTCGCATTTCTCTGTCTCTTTCACCTAAACCCAAAAACAGAGCTCCGTTCTTTACGTCAAACATTCGGCATTCAAATCCATAAGTAGAGGGGCAGAAATTGGAACGAAACTTTGCACATCCAGCTCACTCTCTCGTCTTTTGCGTAGCTAGACACCAGTCCAAGCTTCCAAGAGGAAATTGCCCAAAATCCCTCAATCTCTTTCTTTCTCGTCGGTTGTTGTCCGCCATTGTTGAGCTTCCACCAGACGCCATTTGCACCCCAACCAGCTGCCATTTCTGCCTCAGCAGTCATCCCCAACCAATTTTGTGACCCTTTGCGCTGCACATTTTCTTTTCCATTCGCAAATGGCTTTCAAATTCGTGGCTGTGCATCGCAAATTGTCTCTGAAGTATGTGGCTTTGTGACTATCCTGTCTGGAACATTCCTCCTCCACAAGACCAAGGACATGGGAGGTGTAAGCAGCACTAGTAACACGCCGGTGCCATCTCTGGTATTCCTGGCATCACGCTAGAATTCTGCGGTCTGAGCTTTGAGATGAGATCGCATTCTGCGGTCTGCGGTCTGAGCACAGTGACCTCGCATTTAAGAGATGCGAGGTCTGGTTTTCTTTTTTCTTTTTTTTTTTTTTTTGGATTTTGTTGGAGGAAAATTCAAGAGACTTCGCATTCAGCAAATGCGAGTTCCCTCAACTCGCATTTGCTGAATGCGAAGATCCCTTGGACAGAACCCCACACTCAAAATGCCCCCTTCGTAGAATTTTTTTAAAATTCATCATAATTTTATAAATTTCTCAACCAATACGAGGAGGACGCAACTTTCTTTCTTGTGTACTCCATAAATTAAGAAGAATTGCTCTTTTTTTTTTTTTTGAGTAATAAGAAGAATTGCTCCTGCAGCATCCTTCCACGGAACAACTAATTAATAATGTCTAATGTACACTGAATAATTGGCGAGACAATTCTTGCCAGCGATCAAAATCAACTCATGAGGTAGGAAAAACAACATACAATAATTAATTAATAATTTTTTTTTTTTTTAAAAAAAAAAAAACCCGGAAAACGCATCAACCCCCGCTGGAAGTGTATTATTTACCAAAATGAGCTTGGTGGAGGAGCCCAATTACCAGATTTGAACTCTTTATAGAAACTGGACTTCTTTGAAACAACGTAGAATACTGCGCAAAACAACAGAAAATGTACATCAGAGATGCGTTTAAAAAAGCAAAGCTTGAATGATGAATCGTCTTTGTTTCCAAGATAGAGTGCTCATCTTCACAGAATCGTCTTCAAAGTAAAAAAATAAATAAAAAATAAATAAAATCATACCAGGTATGCCGGGGACAACAAGATTTGGTTCTTTTAGGACATCATAAAGTCGCCTCCTTTCATTTACCTTGATCCATCTCATACCACCACCTAAAAATCATTTCACCAAGTCAAACCCAAGAGAAATGCTTTAACTGGAAACGAATACTTGTGTATGGATTCAACTTAGTTCGCTAAGGAATAATAGCAACACGTTTTCAGCTTGTATTAATTAACAGGCAGGTAGAGCAACATACCTCCTAGAACAGTAGTACTACTTGATTCCTCAGCAGCATCATTTTCCTCGATATCAAACTTTTCCAAATTAGCAGCAGCTGTCCCATCTGCGAGACAATGAAAGATTTCTCTCTTGGATAAACGAACTCCAGAGTCAGCCTGTTAAATCAACTTTCAGCTTAAGAAAAAAGAAAGACCAAGATAATACACATCAACATATTAACAAATTACCCAAGGGAACATATAACAATCATGCTCATAAGCTGAACAACCTTGAAGAATATATCTATCAGACCCTCTTTAAGTTCTTCCAGATATCCTTTTTCAGAAGCCGCATAGCAACAATTTATTAAGAGTTTACTGGAAGGACGATAAGGCAGTTTCAGGGACCGCAAAAGAGAATTTATCCAAACATGAGACGAGGTCTTGAAGATAACTATAAAGGGAGATTATCAGTCATCCAATGTCATTACAATTCAGAGATTGATTTAATGGCAGCACAGAACAGAAAGTAACTACAAGGCACCCTGAACTACCACAACTTCTTTCAGTCACTCGGGAAGCCAATGAGCTCACAAATGCCAAAGGACTTGTCAAAGGGTACATATACCTACTGAAAAACTTTAATATTATCAGATATTGGAAAGAAAAATTGAACAAATTTTCTTCTAAACAATGTGCAGAAGCCCACCAGAAATACTGTCCACTTACATCGAGTGAGTTGCAGATCTTACGAGTCAAATCAAAAGCTTTTATTTTAGCAACATACACAGATGTATCAAGAGTGGCAGAAAATATCATACCTCATAGTACAACTCAAGAGCATCACGTGTATAAGCATGCTCATTATCCCATGGCAAAGGAGGAGAACTTTCTGAAAACATGTAGGGAAGCTAAGGATCACCCAAGAAGTTCATCAATCGATAACAAAAAGTTCACATTATTGGTCCAAAGAGAGCAGCATATAAACTTGACAAAAAACGATGTCAAAGTAAAAAGGATATTTCGTCCAAGTGAGTTGAAAACATGTCAGTCTCACAAAAGTCCTCAAAATAAAGTCACTGGACATAACCTCTGCATACAGGAGAAGAACAGGCCAATGCAGGATATTATTCTTGTCCAAAGTTGGCTTTTCACACCAGTGAGTTCTTGATACAAAGCCTTCCCAATTTTTATTTTTCTTTCTTCAAAGGCAGAGATCATATCCTACATATTTTACACAAGAAGGTTCAAACACTATTTAGGATTGACACAAGATTTCTTTAACTAAAAAAGGCTCATAGATTTGAGACCTTAACAGCTGTAACAGACTTGGAAACTTCAGCCTTACGGCGATCCTGCTCGGACTTCAGTAGATCAATTTGACCAGCTAGCTTGTTTAGTTCTTCATTTTCTGGTGATAGCTCAAGCCCTTTTTCACAATATGATTTTGCTTCAGCCAACAGACTCAAGGACATCGAAGCTTTGACTGCTCTGTAAAATGCCTGAAGAAGTAATACATAATAAACATCCATGACATCTAAAAAAGAAATACACGAGCCAACGTAAGCCAGAGCCAATAAGCCTGAACCAGAAAATGGACTTACAGATAAACAACCTTAACATTTGTTGGGGAAAGTTTGATAGCTTCCTCAGCATCCTGGAGAGCACGTCTATAATTTCCCAAGAGCAAATTGACATGGGCTCTATTGCAATAGAGGATTGACTGCTCTGCATCACTTAAAGCCTTCTGACTAATAGCCCTGGTGTAACAGTCAATGGCATCTGAATAGTGCTTCTTCCCCTTCTTCACATATTCATTTCCATTTTCCTGCAGACAACTGACCCAGATCAAAAATTTATTCTTATGCATGTACTCTTATGTATGCACTCTGCTAAATTGATGGAGAAATTAGTGAATACGCAACTTTAGGTTTTGTATATTGAACCACCCCTTGAACGGCAAGCGACGGGGGCTTATCCAGGGGGAGTTTGGGTGAGTAAACAATATTCAAATTCTAAGTATCTCCTTCAAATATTGAATCTTTTTTTCTGAACTTACATCTGAAATCGAATCTCCAACAGCAAAGTAATAGTCCAAGTGACCAAAAGGACCAAGAACAAAACCCAATTGGAAGCCCCCCCCCCTCCCCCCGCCCGCCGCGGCGGAAAGAAAGAACAGATGAACCAGGAAAAAACAAATAAAACAAAAGAAAGACAAAAGCTCCGAATAAATAAGGCAAGCAAGAGGAAGAGAAACCTTGAGTTCGATAGCAGTAGATTGTTTGAGGGCAGAGATGGCTTCAAGGTCTACAACCTCGCTCTCTGTTTTGGGTTCAGAGCCCGCCTCCATCCACAGCGCCATCTTGGCTTTCTTTGAATACTCTACTACCTAAACCCGATCACTCAGCAGGTCGCTCGCTCCCCGAAAACAAACCTTCGTCAGTATACACTATACAAACCCCCACACACACTCACACTCGAATTACCATTTGACGAAAGCCATCGAAGGCAGCGCTCCTTAAGAATTATAGTACTGGTATTTGACAAGAGAACCCGGAAGCAAGAAAGAGCCTTCAAATTTGAGATGGGGTGTGACTTTTGGATTGGGCGGATCTTTCTAGACACTTTTGACGGCCCATTTTCAAATCGATTTGGATAATGTGGAGGGATTAACCCAGAAAACAACTACAAAATTGCCTTCTCTCTCTCTCTCTCTTGCTACTAATTGCTAATTTGCCATTCGTTGCAGTAAATTAATTATGCTAACTGTGCCCGATTAGTTGATGTTATTAAGCTAAGGTCATAGCCGAGTTCAGTTGCTTATTCGTCTTTGTTTCAAGAAGCTGTCCCTCGTACCAAAAGATCCTCAGATTATCACCGTTCCTGTGTAATTTACCTAATAAAAAAACACGCAAAAATCCTACCAGCGTCAAAGCAAACGGAACAGCTTCAATAAGACTGAGGAGCAAAAAAAGTTAGTGCTCAATGGATAGGCTGACAAAGTCTAGAATAATTCAATTAATATACAACTAACTTTACAAAAGCTACCAGCCTCTGTACAGAAACCTTCGACGGCAAGGGCAATCTCTGCAACTCGTCCGCAACACCACCACCACCCCCCCCCAAAAAATTTTTTTTCCCCGGGGCGGGGTCGAAAGCAGGATTGTAGAACAAACGTAGGTGAAGCTTCACCAAAAGCTAAAAGTCGAAGAGAAGACCAGCATCTATAGTAGCAGCTTCAGGAGAGAAAACATTAAGCTCGGGAGGCACCGGAACTTCCAAAGCACCCAAAGCAGACTGATTTTCAAACATCCAGGAGTCCAAATGGAAATCCAATGGTGCAGAATTGGCGCTCCCATATAATTGTGAACCAACATCAGCATTGACTGCCGGCTCATCTCTCTGCACTGCGTTTTCTAGCCGGTTGTACTCATCAGCAAGAGGTTGTTGGCCGTGGCTAGGAGTACTGTCCCAACCAAAGCCAAATTCAGCACAACTTGGATGCAAAGTACTTCGAGTTTGATTACCTTGTTTAAATGTATCTTCCCCATGACTTGATAAAGAAGCGACTTGACACGCATTCTTGCGGTAAATGCAGCAACGGATTGTCAAAGCCACTATCAGCATTTGGCTGAGTAGGAAAAGCACCTTCAAAGCAGTTGCTCATGTTGGCCCACGAGGTTACAAGGATTCAGAAGGAACAGGATCTTGAGAGAATCTTGTATCATTAGGATTGGTAGTTTGTTAGGGGTTGAAAAGGAAATGAATTATCGAAGGGACAGTCCCAATTTGGCTGCGCGGCAACGACCCAGGTTGTGTAGGCATTGGATTAGTGATGCTGAAGTCGCCATACATTTGAAGAAGACAATTGACGCTGAGGACCCACTGTACTTGTATCTATACTGCTCCATGTGTTTGACGTAACATCTGAGGATGAGACGGTGGATGATTTGCAGTTCCATTGGCCATGTTTATCACAGCTGGTAAGCTGGACATTCTAGTAGCCATACCACCAACAATTGCCTTGGAGGAATCTTCAAAGGTACTAATCACTGGAGTCACAGAGTCTAACCACCTTGTCGTAGAAGGATGGCTTCTGGTAGACTGATATCCATGGCTGGCTCTGGATGAATTATTACAGTACCTATTAGCTGGTAATACATCCCCACATGTTCTTGTCCTTTTTAATTGTACATGAGAAATGTAGCGAGTGCCTGTGTTGCCAGCACTGTGTCTCCTGTCACCAGGGATAGGATGACTATATGTACTCCGCAACTGTGGAGAGACGCTCGTATAATTTCCAGACTGTTGGCTTCTACCATGATTTATGTTATTTTGTGTGCCATTAATAGATGGCATAGAAGAAAGCTGATGCGCAGCTTGGGTAAATAATTGATTCTGTAATGAAGGATCAGAGGGCAATGGTGGAGCTAGTCCTGTGGAAAAAGAAGTATCAGGAGCCACGGGTGGAGCTTCATCATTTTTCTTTGAACTTTTCCTCTGGGATTTCCAGAACTCCTCTTTGTCAGTAGCATGACAATGGTCAATACTGGAGATGCCGGTGCTCCAGTGAAGACAGGGAGCAAGTGAGTCACAAACATAACAATGGCACTGAAGTTAAAAGAAACTATGAATCAAAAGAGTAGCATGTGCTGAAAAACGAAGGTAAGCGGACAAATCTAAAAGAAGAAGGCTACAGAAGAAATATTACCTGCTCACAATGCCTATCATGTGGAGTAGAATTAAAGGGGAATTTGACACAAAGATGGCGTGCATGAGGATAATCTCTACATGCAACCTGCAAGAAAAACAAAAGTCAAACAGAAGAAACCTGCACCAGGAAAAGTTCCCATAAATCCATGTATACAAAGTACAAAACTGAAGCAAATTTCCAGATGTACATCCAGATTTCAAGATACAAAAACTGTGTAGAACAAATTATACTGCTGACATACATTAGTCAAAATATTACCGAAAACTTAAGAACCTCACCTACCATTTTAAGTAGATCTGACATGAATATAAAAATCAGAAGATACTAAGTGTAAGAAACAAAGATTTTCCTGTACGGTTCATAAGACAATCTATGAAGTTTCCACTGATCAACATGACTAAATGTTGACTGCTATTGAGAACTCTGTTCAGACTGCCTTTAAATTTACAAGGTTAGAATGAAATCCTTTGTCCTAAATAGATGCCGCATATCAGGTATTGCATCAAATACAGCTTCCACAAAAAGAAACCGCAGAATGAAATCAAGCTCGCATTCCAAGATCAGAACTTACAAATGCAAAAATTCCCCATTTCAGCATCTAAGGTATATAACAATTTGAAACCCCTCCCACCCCCCCCCCCTCCCCTCCCCTCCCCTCCCCCCCCCTCCCCCCCAAAAAAAATCAAAGGCGCACAACTTAGGCTATATAAACATGCATACATCAAGCAATAATATTGAAGCCAAAGTAAAATAAGAACAGCATTCGTAAAGAGAAAAGTTAATCACGAAAAAGCAAATGTACAAGACAATGCAGTAACAACTTCAGTAAATTTAATTCAGGAAATTTATATTCACAACCAATTACATCCGACCATGACGTATCATTTCATAGTTGTTATTGTGGACATGAGAGAGAAAAACAAGGATATTCCATTTTCAATGGGGAAGCATTACATTAATTACAAAACCCAATCATAACCAAGTCCAGATGTCATATCCAATTTTATTGTGAAAAAATGGCAAGAAAGATGAGTATGAAAGATGCAACAAGTATTCATTAACAAGCAAGGACATTTTTCCCCTCGTTTATATAGGGCGCAGAAAGAACAGTTGACCTTTCATGGCTCACATTCAAAGCCAAGTTCATCCTTGAGTCATCCTCCTTTATGACTCTGAAGAAACTGTGCCTGACCGCATCTTGAGAACATCATCATAATAAAGCACACAATAAGTACGACATCAAACAATTCTGTTCTCATAATTCCCAAAACTGTTCATTCGTAAATTACTAACTACTTTTTCCTCATATTCTCAACTAGTATAGACTGCAGGCGAGTCTGTCTAGGAGACAATATTTCTTGAATGAAAATTAAGACAGGAGTTTTTGTTTTAGGAGTTTGTAATGCTCACAGTTCATTAGCCAGAAACACACAACCAACACACAGAACAGGTAAATTCACTCTTAACGAAAAAAAGAATCATAATATAAAGATTGAAAGAAGACCATGCCGGTTGTTATCTCCCAAATAAAAGTTTGTCTGTCAGGACCATAGGTAGCTAAGACGTATGCTGGAGACAGATATTCAGTAGCTTAATGATATCTTCTTGCATCTTCATATCTTCAAGTAATCAGACGTAAGTGCACTAGTAATTCCAACTCCATTCAACCTATTAAGTAATTTTTGTAACACAAATGCGTAACTACTGGGATTAAAATGTCTCACTCTTAAATGAAAAAACATAATATTCCTTACTGCTTCCCCAATTTACTCGTCAAAACAGTTCACTTTTTCTTAGGCAATGAGGAACAAGAACAACCATCTCAGCTCTAAAGCGGCAATTTTTTTTTTCAAATGAAAAATATCAAGAGTGTAGAAATACATCCAAGAATTTAACCATGGTGATAGAAGGAACAGCAGCAATACCTGGCCCTTTTCGCTAACAACAAGCAATTCGTCGGGATCATCCTCTCTTTTATCGTTTTCAATAGCAACCGGCGCATCCGGGTCAGCTTCCAAGACTACACAGTCATCATCATCAACTTTATCTACACATTTTACTGAAGGCTTTGGCCTGAATTTGGGCTTGGCAATAACCTCACCACCACCACCACCTCATCGGAATCATCCATTTCTTTATCTACCTTATCCAATAGCTCTGATATCCAATCACTGTCATCTCGACACCCGCCGCAGCCGGCAGCGGACATGTTATCTCCCCAACCAACATCTTCATCGGAGCTTATATCCAGTACAACCGTCTCCTGCGCAGCCATTGCAACCTTGGAAGTAACTCAGAAATCTTTCACCCAATTTATTGTTCTGTATTCCCACAGATAAATTACATAAATGTAGAAAGAAATAAAATAGAGAAACTTTACTACATCTGTGAGATCAAGGAGCAACAAAGATCGAAATTTGACAAGGGTTTTGATTTGTGAATACTGAGAAAAAAATTAGGGTTCGTGAGTGAGCCTGTGACAGTGAAATTCAAATGTTGGCAGTTTTTTTTCCCCTTTGAGCGAGCATTAAATTGGAAAGTGTTTTTCTGAGAGACCCAACGAGATTGCTGAAAATAACTTAGGGAATGGATGGGGGGTGGTTTGGTAGACTAGGGTTTGTTGGTAGCGTCATCGGTGGATGAGTCACAGACTCGTGAGTCGCGTCGTGACTCGGGAGAGTCTTGCTGCCGCCACTCGCTCTGGAGGAAAGAAGGATTGACGATGACGAATTCAGGAATCAGGACTTGCTGCTTAGGTTACGACTTACGAGGCAAGCGTGGGAATTACGCTGTCAGTTCGCTGGTGCCTGGTGGGAGTTTCGGACTTCCACTTCCCCGTTTCCGTTAACCAAATTAGCAAGCAATAATGGGACCCATTGTGATTTAAACTTTTTTCCCATTTTTTATTTTTGTAAATTTAATCGGCACTCCCTTCAGTCTTGTGCTGTGCTGTGGCACTCCCTTGTAGGTCTGTCAACAATCCGGGTCTAGATTCGGAATCGATCCGGATCCGTGAAATTATTGCGGATATGGGTAAGAATTTAATTCTGTTACCTGGACCCGGATTCGGATTCGTTTTATCAATCAAAAAAATGGGTCGAATACGAAATATAGTATTCCGACCTGTATTAGACTCAGATCCGGATATAAATGGATTAATAATTTAAAATATGTATATTTATCAATATAATTTGATTATGGTGATATATTTGTGTAAAGTCAATTTGATTTATTTTCTTATTTGATTTTTTTTTTGTATTAGTTAGAAATTAGTGTACAAATATTTTTTTTCTCATTTTTATTAGAAATTGTAAATTTTCATAATTTTTTTCGGGTAGACCCGAACCCGAATCCGAGACCCGTCGAATCCGGATCCGAAACATATAGTAGAAAACCCACCGGGTAAACGGGTCGAATCTGGATCCGATTTGATATGCGGAGTCCGAATCCAGAATAATGAATTCCGACCCGTTGACAGACCTACTCCCTTGTGACCTTTTTTACCATGCCAGTAAGACAAAAGTAGTAAATTCCGGTAACCTTCGTTGAGGTTGAGGTTACGACCATCCATTTATGAGGTTGCAATTAAAATAAAGAATGAGGGTATTCTTGTCCTTGCATGTGATTCTGAGTTGAAAAAAAAATCAAGAGAAATTCCATTAACAAATGAGTGAGTGCTTTTAATATTTGTAATAAATCTTTTTGTTTCCTTGTTTCCATTCTAGAGTTTCCGTTAAAATATCCTTGAGTCATGGATAGCAACGGGTAGGTATCATCGAATATTTATCTAACCAAACTCTAATCCAACCAACATTCTGCAGAGGAGTCAGTTGCCACATGAATTATAGGGTGGGAGATCAATGATTCAAGCTTTCTCCTTGTATGGCGGACAAGTTTTTGTCAAGTTTATCTGCTACAAGTTTTTTAAAAACTTTAACTACAATAATCTCAAAAAATTTCTCAAAATTTTTACACTACACACTTCAAAATATTAAAAAAAAACATACTTCAAAATTTTTTTAAAAAACTTCTACAATAAGTTACAGTAAAATTTTAGACAAATACTCAAAAAACTCACTTATCAAACGGGGCCTTTATTTTCCATCAATGTACCACTATATATGTGATTTCTTTTAAATCCATACGAGTACGTGGTGCACCTGCTTGGTGCAATAGTGGTTTAGTTTCCGTCAATTCTCTCAGTTCAGTGAACTATCCTTCTAGGGTAGGAGTAAGAATAAGGTATTCTAGATGTGCGAGTACGTAAAAAAGAAAAAAAATTCTAATCCACTTATCTAAATCTTTTATTTCCTATTATTAAACCCTCTTCGGTTGGGTTCTAATTTTCTATCGAACATCCTCCATCCACTAATATGAATAATTTTTTTAAAAAAATAGAATTAATATTATTAAACTAAAATCAATACATACACGGTGCTCCATAAATTCTTTAAGTTAGGAAGGCTAAGAAGAGGCTGAAGGCCATAGAATGAGAAAAAACTAAGGCTCCGTTTGGATTAGCTGTTTTTGGGTTTGTTTTTCAAAAACACCACTGTAGCATTTTGAATCTGAAAAACAAGTCCGTTTGGATTAGTTGTTTTTGGGGTTGTTTTTCAAAAACTATATGAAAAACTTTTACTGTAGATTTTTTTGGATTATTTTTAGAGGTATTTTGGAAACATATTTTTGAGTATTTTTAGAATATTATAATTTTTATATTTTTATATAAATATATATTTATGCATTTATAATCCATTTATATTTACAAATGTATAGAAGTATATTATTATAAATGAATAAATTATAAATGAATATTATATAAATGTATAAATTATAATTTATATTTTTATATTTTTATATAAATATGCATTTATGCATTTATAATACATTTATAGATATTTATAAATAAATATATTTATAAATGTATTATATTATATATAATACATAATATAAATATATTTATAAATGTATAACTGTATATTATTATAAATGTATAAATGAATATTATAAATTATAAGTGTATATTATTATAAATTTATAAATTATAAATGAATATTATAAATGTATAAATTAATATATTATAAATATATATTAATATTATGTAGAAATGTATTTATATAATTAATATAAATGTATATTTGTATTGATATTATGTATAAATGTAAAATTAATATTATGTATATTAATATAAATGTATAAATGTATTAATATATATAATACATAATATAAATGTATATTTAAATGTATAAGTGTATATTATTAAAAATGTATAAATTATAAATGAATATTATATAAATGTATAAATTAATAAATTATAAATATATATTAATATTATGTAGAAATGTATTAATATAATTAATATAAATGTATACATGTATTAATATTATGTATAAATGTAAAATTAATATTATGTATATTAATATAAATGTATAAATGTATAAATTAATATATTATAAATATATATTAATATTATGTAGAAATGTATTTATATAATTAATATAAATGTATATATGTATTGATATTATGTATAAATGTAAAATTAATATTATGTATATTAATATAAATGTATAAATGTATTAATATATATAATACATAATATAAATGTATATTTAAGTGTATAAGTGTATATTATTAAAAATGTATAAATTATAAATGAATATTATATAAATGTATTAATTAATAAATAAATATAAATATATATTAATATTATGTAGAAATGTATTAATATAATTCATATAAATGTATACATGTATTAATATTATGTATAAATGTAAAATTAATATTATGTATATTAATATAAATGTATAAATGTATTATATTATATATTATACATAATATAAATGTATATTATAAATAAACATACATATTTATATATTGTGTATAAATGTATAATATATTATACATTATATTATATATAATTTATATAACATATAATATTTATGTAAATATATTATAAATATATAAAAATATATTATAAATAAAATAAAATATTTATAATATGTATGTATAGATATATAATATTAGAAATGTATAATATATATAATATACATTATTATTAATATAATTTATGTATAATATACATAATTGAAATATACATATTAATATATATTATAAAACAAAATTGAATAAATATATTTATAAATTTATATATAAATAAATGTATTTATATAAATATATAATATTTATTTCAATTGATATAATATATATAATATTATACATAATTGAAATAAATATATTTATATTAATATAATATATATATAATATACATAATTGAAATATACATATTAAAATATATTAAAATATAATTGAAATATACATATTAAAATACATAATTAAAATATATAAATTGAAATATACTTATTAAAATATACAAATTAAATATACATAATTGAAATATATTTGGAGTTGTTTTTGATATATTGTTTGGATATGGGTGTTTTTTAAGTTGTTTTTGAAATACACATTACTGTAGCATTTGGAATGTGAAAAACAGTTTTTCAAAAACAGGTGCAAAAACACTCCATCCAAACGCAGCCTAACATTTTATGAAGGGTTAAATCAATATTCTTCCATTTTTTAGACTTTCGGTTATATATATGTATATAGGGTATTGGATTTTTAGGTTTTTCTTACCAAAATCTATTGAATTACATGTTATCAAATCATAAAAGATAATCCATCTGTTGTATAATCAGATTAACTATTGAACATGTACATTTTATCTTACCCATTAGTGTGTCTACCTTAAAATGAATAAAGAATGTTAATTAGACTTTTAATTCTGCTAATTACACTTCATGGATTTTGTATTCACTAAATTAAGAAGTGTTAACACAAAACAATAAAATGATTGGCCTACAGACTTTTAATTTTTGACGATAGAATTGTTTGGTAAAAGAATTTATTGTCAAGTTTTGTTCTCCTACAAGTTTTTCAACGACTTTAATTACAATAACATCAAAAAACTTTCCACGCGTTTTAAAATACACACTTCAAAATAAAAAAAAACACCAAAAAATTACCTTCCTTCCTTCCTTTTTCTCCCTCGCATCAACCCACCACCATTTTTGTCGTCAGCCAATGTTGACAACTCATTTTTTTCTTTCCTTTCCTCTCTTTCTCTTCTCCTTTCTCCCCTTCCTCCCATCTCTCCCTCACATCACCCCCTTTGGTTGCGCAGGGGGAAGGCTGGTGGCCCAGGGAAAGAGAGAGGAGGAGGAGAGGGATGAAGGAGAGAGAAGAAAAGAAAAAAAAAAAAGGACTACCACGTGCCAGTCGTCGGTGGAGGTGCCGGCAACAAGGGGAGGAAGGGCGGGAGAAGTAGCGCAGTGGGATGGGAGAGAAAAAATCAGAGGAAAGAAAAGGGGAAAAAAAGAAGTTTTTTTCTTAAAAAAAATTTACATATTTTAAAAAATGTTATACAGGTAAATTACAATAAAATTTTAAATAAAAGTAAAAAAAAATTCATTTGCCAAACCAGTTTGGCTTACGGACTCGAACTTCTACTCTTGCACGTGACAAAAGTCATATTTGATGATGTCTAGCCGACGGAGTGACGAAAGTCATATTTGGAGCAAGTGGCCGGAATCACCGCAAAGGTGGCGATGACGTACATTCCCGACTCAGAAGAGCAGACGGAAAATCGAGCCTATGGATTGTTTCTAAAAGCCTTGCAGCGTTGAGTTGAAAAGTTGTTGTTGATTTTGCTGCTTTTGTCTCCAAAATAAGGATAATTTTGGACTCGTTCCCAAAGCAAACGAGCCAAAAAAAAAAAAGGAAGAAGCCCAAAAAATACGGATAGTCAAATT